TGTCATAATGTCTACAAAACGCCCATCTCTGTCTCCTGAACACATACATCCAGTCTGCTTTTCACTTTCACAATAGTATTCAATAAATTGCATAAGATAGTCGACATTTTATTACAAAATGAGCTTTGTTTTGGGCAATTTTGCCCAGATATAGGCTAACATAAATATTCTGAGCACATCTGAGGTAGGCAAGGAGGAGCTATGCTGCTGGGTAAGTTAGGTGCGCTAAATGCACTTTTGACTTATGATATATTAATTTATGATGGCTTTATTGGGATATAATTACAACCTAATTCTAGAGCACCTGTAGTCATATCAAATCACAGTTAAATCTGTGAGTCTAGAGTTAAGAAATGGAGATAGAAATCTGTGAACCATAAAAGTATATTTAGAGCCATACGACTATAGAAGATCACCTAGGGAGAAAAAAGAGATATTTAGAATTATACCTTAGGCTAGAGAGACACAAGATGTCATGGAACAGGGGACCAGCAAAGGAAACTATGGAAGACTTATTAACAAGGAAGGAAAGAAACAAGAAAAAGTAGTGTACCAAGACGAAGGGAAGAAAGTGCTGCAAAAATGTGGCCCACTCACATTCTCCACACATCGCCTTACTCAGTCTATCCCACTCATCCTTCAGAACAGGACACTTTCATGATAAACCCTTTCTAAGCACTCCTGCCTCAGAAAGATCATCCTCTATTACATCCCTAAATCACAGCGTAGGCCTCAATAATTATCAAAATTATGTCTGCAGCTGCATCTTCGTTGCTCTGCTCTTCTTCCCAGCCCTACTCCTGCTCAAAAATGTGAGTCCTTGAGGGCCAGAAGTTTCCAACAGAATTGCTGGAATCTAATAATATATCACACCAACAGGAAGGAGGAAGTTAGATTTATTGAGATCCTGCTGCATATTAGGCAATAAGTCAATATTCTTTATGATGGTTATCTTAGTGCTCAAAAATGTGGATAAAAGAATGAAGGAAGGGCTGATTGAAGAGTAGCAATAGCACACATGATAGATACATGGATAAGGGCAATTCAGACACAGGTAGAGCCCTGCAGGAAGATGAATGCAATAGGGTACCACAGTTTCATGTCAATCACTTTCAAAATTATTCAGCTGCTCCTTTCTAAATTCATCAAGCAAAATTCTCCAATATCATTTTGTTTCCTTTACAGATTCTCCTATGGATTTAGAAAGTGACAACTAGTAGATATAAGTATCTGTTCCAACTGGCTGCTGTATTTCTCATTATGTGTGAATAAATTAAATGTCTATTTTAGACATTAGTCTAACGTAAATTTGGTTAGTGTGTTTCATTTTAGATTTCTAGTGATGATCAGTCTCCTTATTTCCTGTTTTTTGTTTTTGATCATTAAAGTGACAAAACTAAGTTATGGGAACAACAAAATGGGACTGACTCAGGCAATTAAAAGAGATGGTGATATAAGAAATTTAAGACTCATTTCATACTGTGCGTTTGACTGCTATAGGAAAATATTGATTTCCATTTTTCACCTCTTGTTGACACACAATAGTGGTCACAGTCATGATTCTTCTATAATGGGTTGGGGGAGCAGTTGATATGCAATGAGCTTTACCGAAAAAAAAAAAAGGTATTTCACTGTTGCCTCAAATTTGATCCATTTTTTTCCTGAGTTTATTCTGTAAGTTGAAATATAGAATTCTATCTAGAACCAGATGAACACATTCCAAATTTAAGTCCATCATTTGTCAGTATAGTCAATCTTGCTAAACTGGATCAATTTGTGATGTTTTGACAAAAGGAGGTTTATATCCCTTTGAAGAATATCATTTGAACTCTGCTGACACAGCTGAGATCATTTTGCTTTTATGTTGCTAACTGGATGTGTATGTGGTTTCCCTCTGGGGTGCCCACACCCTCTCTTTCTAAATTCTAGACAAAAAAAAAAAAATTGGATGAAATGATTTGTGTCAGTGACGTAAGGCAGATAACAACTTTGTCACAGTTTTCAATTTTTAAAGTATGTCGAACATGAATACTTCCTCTCTTTTCATTGATATCAGGGTGATGGGAATTCACAAATATGTAGCTTCTTGTTGCTATCTCATCTATCACACTCTATAAACCAAGGATTATATAAATTTTGTATTTTTATGTCCTACCTATCTTTGAAATATAAATCCTCTTCACGGCTACCATGACAACCCTAGTTTAGGACTTCCTCTACCAAGACTAGTGAAATAACTGTCACAACAGAGGCAATCTAATCCATCATCCACAGAGTATTGGGTATAATCTATGGAAAGTACAAAGTAAGTCAGTGCTATTTTTGTTTAGAAATCTAGTAATTGTTCCCTCCCTCCCTCCCTTCCTTCCTTCCTTCCTTCCTTCCTTCCTTATTTTTTGCCTTTGTGTCAACAAAGATTGAACCTTGCGGTGTACTACCACTGAGCACATCACCAATCATTTTTATTTTGAAACAAAGTCTCATTGAATTATGGAGGTTGGCCTCAAATTTGCAGTTGTCCTGCCTCAGCCTCTGACTGTTTGCCAGCTGTGTGCCACCACATCTAGCTAAATATTGTTTCTTAATTGCCTGTAAAATAACAGCAAAGACTCACACCACCAGTACACTCTGAGACCCTGGAAAGACAGCCCTTGCCGGGGCCTCATACTTTTGAGGAGGCAGGGAGAACCACTGAATGGGAGCCAGAGGCTTGCCATACATGGCCATGTTCAGGAGCAGAACTTGGGAGATTCTGAGAATTCTAAATTCAGATTGTGTCTTCAGTCAATATAAAGTTATGTTGTGTTAGGTCAGGATATATTTCATCTTTTCAAGCTTTATTTATAATATTTAGACATACCATACATGTGATATGTGAGCATCAATTCAGACTCCTACTCTGAATCTACAGATGTCAAGCCCATTTGGGTTTCTATTTGAGGCCTTTCATGCCACAGTCCTGCCCAACTCTTCAATTCATCACCAACTTCTAGCCATCCACCCTGTACCTATGGTACATTAACCCTGAAGTCTTTGTACCATGCTTTCCACACCATGATACGTAACATCTTCAGTTTCCTTTCATACTGTTGTCTCTGATTGAAATGGCCTTCACAACTTTTCTAGCTAATTCATTAATCTTTTATTACACATTTTGTAAATCATCACCCACAATCTAAAAAAATTCCTGACTTTACATATTCAATTTCCTCACTGTAGATTGTACAAACTTCATTCTTATGGTTACCTTATTATGATGTAGCTATTTGCTTATGTGTCAGAACAAAACAAAAACAACCCTGTCAACCTCTTGAGGGTAACATTTATCTTGTTTTTCAAATTATTATACTCTAATAAATACATTTTAAACAAATATATGCTAACACGACAAGTATGATTAAAAATGCATGTTATTTCATATTTCATTCAACCTATAATGACAAATGCCTTGAAAATATCATTTACTACAGTTGAACAGCTAAGTAACCTTAACTTATATAATGAAAATTTTGTTAATTGTATAAAAGACTGTCATCTTTGCCAAAGCCAATCCAAGGTTTTAAGTAGTCATTTTCCTTCTATAATGCAATGTATATCAAATAATTAGGACAATGATATTATACTGTAAGATGCTGTGAAAATTGAAGCATTAAATTTTGCATAAAATTTTCATGCTTTATTTTACCCTACAAAGAAAAATATCAATGGCAGTTCTAATGGCCACCTTTTATAATTTACATAAGACTAATAATTTTAAAAAATCAAAACTGATATGTTTTAAACTGTATTTAATTCATAAAAATATCTTTTAGAAAATAAAGTAAGCTACATTTTCAGATTTTAAGTGTGATTGTTTAGTTTATGATTCTTTAAATGTTCAGAAAAAAAATGTATGCTTTTCAATGGCCATTTTATTTGAAACCCTAGAAAATCATTCATTTATTATGTCACACAATTTATATAATCTAGTTTTCTTCCAGCTCTAATTATTGGTTGCAATTATAGTGGGATCCAAGTCAAGCCTAGTTCCTAAACTATTGTAGTGACGGAAGCAAGGTATTAGCATTCTCAATTACTCTTGAAGTGTCTTGCTTAGAGCAAAAACAGAAGTTTCCAACAATGTAAATTTCCTTAAGCTGAATGTTTCAACATTAATTTTACCTACCACTGACTGAGGCACTGAACTGTCTTGTGCTTTTTGTACTACATCTCTTCCCTTTACAGTTCTCCTGTTTGGTTTGATACCTTCAAACTCTTTTAGTCATTTTTTTCCATACAAGCTTACAGTCTCCATCTCTGTTGGGTCTTCATATATGAAAACCACTCATATGAGGAAGAAACTGATATAGCCCTTAATCACGTGTCTGACTGTGGAAACTACTTGTCATCTAGATTTTTTCTAAGGATAGAATCATCTTGAAAAAGCATAACCCATTTCACTGTTAGAATTTGCCAATCCCTCTGTATTACCTTGGTCTGTATATATTATGCTCATTAGTTGCTTTCCCAGGAGGCACTTTAACAGAACTAAATCCTAGGCATAGCCTTTTACTCTACAACCTATCCAATCCCAGCTTCCTAACACAACTCTGTTAACCTCTGGACCTTGGGTCTTTTCTTTGTTTTTTTACACAAAATGAAAACCAGGAGACTAGAGAACATTTATTAAGCACATTTCAATTTTATGAATTATATTAGTAACAGGAAAAGAGAACCAGTTCTTTGAAACATCTAATAGGATACGGCCTGAATGCCAGAGTTTCTGGATAAACTGAGAATGTAGCTCAGTAAGCAGAGTGTTTGCCTAGCATGTGGGAGCCCTGAGTCCAATCCTCACAATTGAATTTAAAAAAAAATTAAAAAGAAAAAGAGTTTATGGACAGAATTACCATAAAAGTGGAGAGATACTGAAGTGAGACGGGCTCATATACTTAGGATTTTTTATAGTTAGAAAACTTATTGCATGCTAAAGGATTTGTGTTGCAAGACATATATCTTACCTTAACTTCCACATGTGCCATAAGTACTGCAAAATTGGTTAGGTGGTTACAAGAACAAGTAGTATGTGTCTTGTTTGTTGTCAGGAGCCGACAGCCTTGAGTTGACCAATAACCTGTCATTGTGCGCTTGGAGTAGCTCCAAAATGAACAGTTAGGGTTGAAATTTTCCTCTGACTGCTATGGCAAAAAAAAAAAGTCAATAAAGGTAATAATTACTTTATGATCATAAAAATTAGGTAAGCATTTTATTCATATATTACACAATATCATACTCCGTTCCAATTCTTGTGGTGATATCAACCAATGTTTTCATATGAAGTGGGACTCATCAGTTCTAAGAAAAATTGAATGTCTGAGATTTATTCTATCTTATTAGAGGTTAAATGTTCTTTAAATGATTATTATTAAGAATATTAATATCAATGTTTCTGAATCATATCAATTAATGTCAATTTCATAGTAAAGAAGTAAATTGATAGGAACAATAAACTTCTGAAGGATGCTCTTTAGAAATATTTGTTGAATTTACAACTACAATATTTTTTTATATACACAAAGCTATCTTCACACAAAGACATAATTACTTACAACATCATAGCACTCTACAGTTTCTTTTAATGTATGGATAGCTCATTTTAAAAAAAGAAATTTTATATTGTACATTTAGGGTATACAATATGATGTTATTGAATTCATATATATAGTAAAAAGATTACTATTGTAGAAAAGACAAAAACATATCCATCATCTTACAGTAATGTTATTTTCTGTTTTTCTCGCAAGAATAGCTATGATCTACTTATTCTCCCCCCCCATAAAAAAAGAGCACTACCATATCTTGCTGATAATGAACTGTAATATGTCAAATAATAGAAAGATATTAATAGAAAATTAATTTAATATTCAAGTTATATGGAACATGGATAATGTGGACAACTAATATTAACATTCTTACCTTGATATGTTTAACAGTAAACACCACAGGATCAGCCAAATAAACCTTATTACTGAACTCTTTGTTTATTGCTGCTGTAATAACAGGTGAATTGACAATAACGGAATGATTTGTAGACATAGCTTCTGTACCCAACTTCATACTGGCATTCTCCGTGGACAAATAAGGACCCAAGTTGTTATAAAGGACAAAGGCCACTCTGATCTCTCCTGAAGTAAATGGAAATGTGTATATGTTGGGAAAAAACACTGATCAGTTTGTACATTGCATTTAAATTAATTCTAAGTAGACACCAATCAAATCTTTACAAACAATTTTTAAAAATCAAGCATTTATTTGCTTGGCACCAAAATTCCAAATCATTCGTGAGAAAAGGAAAGTCAAATTCTACTCAAATAACTACATATCAGTATTTAAAAAAATGAACTCAAGCCTATTTTACTCCATATTCAAAACTGAATTTTAGATGGATTATAGACCTAAGCATAAAAGCATAACCATAAAGCCTCTAAAACAAAATATAGGATGATACATTTTAACTTTGAGAAAGGGAAAATGACTTAGATTGGATTCAAAAATGACAAAAACCACAAAATGGTAAATGGAACTGTATCAAATTCTAAAATTTGAATCTATCAAAACATATCAAGAAAATGAGAAGCAAAGCACAAATGAGGGAAAAAGGCAGGACTCATGTAAATATAAAGTATTTCTGCTAGTCAACAATTAAATAATAAAGAGCATTTTAAAATGGAAAAAGTCATAAATAAATTCTTAAAAATATAAGTGAAAGACCAGGATACACATGAAAAATGATCTGTGTCATTGGTAATTAGGGAAATAGAAATTAAAATTTTGAGGTAGCATTTCTTTCCAACTAGAATTTTTAATAGAGATTCACCACAATAATGTTAGTAAGGATGTGGAGCAATTGGAACTCTTGTACATTTTTGCTGGGTGTGTTAAAATGTTTGATTACTAAGAAAAATGGCAATTTCTTGTAAAGGTCAATATGTATATCTTCTTCCTATTAAGTGAAAGTATATATCCACAAAGAAGAAAATTTGTATAAGAAAACTTTAATAGAGAATTCTTATTCATAAGAGCCCCATATGATAACAGAATCTACTATGCATCAATAATGAACAAACTTGAGTCAGGTGCGGTAGCACATGCCTGTAATCCTAGCAGCTCGGGAGGCTGAGGCAGAGGATCTTGGGTTCAAAGCCAGTCTCAGCAAAAAGCAAGGCGCTAAGCAACTCAGTGAGACCCTGCTTCTAAATAAAATACAAAACCGGGCTGCGGATGTGGCTCAGTGGTTGAATGTTCCTGAGTTCAATCCCCAGTACTACCCCCAACAAAAAGAACAAACTATAAGTAGGTAGGACATAATGACAAAAATGTCAAAAATATCTTATTGAGTTACAGAATCCAGAGAGAAAAAAGTATATATGTATAAAATATGTGATTATATGAAATCTAAGAATAGGACAATTTTGTCTGTAAAATAATAATGAGAAGAAAGGTTTATTAGGTAGGCACAGAAAATAAAAAGAGTGGTAAGAAGCACCAGGGAATATTTTGGGTAATAGAAAAAATTTTATTTTCTGTTTTATGTGATTTTACAGAGTTATATACGATGGTCAAATTCCTTAAGCTAAACACTTAAAGTTTGTGTATTTTATTACATGCTAATTTGCTATTTATATCTTAATTGCAATTTTTTTTAAAGGATACCAAAACTTCACCTATACTTTTAGGTATCATTTCCTTGGGTGGGGAAAAGGGGCAGGGACTCAAGTCCTGTGTGTTACTTCCAGTATACAGGCATACCAGTTCACCAAGAGACAGGCACTGTCCAACCACTGTGGCTACAGAGATGAGGAAATCACAGTCCCCACTTCTGAAACTTTGAGTTAAGTAGAGAAAGAGAGAGAATTCAGTTGAATGGAATGATAGACCAAAAAAAAACAACTCTATAATATAAAAAGGGGTGGCTGTCTAACATCTAATCTGTACTCCCATGTTTGAGAAATGTGTTATGCTTAGGGAGTTATAGATGCAAAATTTACATATATTTGCCTTCCTGTCTTGCCATGCAAAGAGGTTATTCTGGGCACCTCTCAGCTAGATGCATCTAAACAGATGCTGTATTCTCATTCTGTAGATGAAGAGCTAGTGACACAAAAAGCAGGAGGAAGAGCAGAAATAGCAGCAACAGCAGCAGCAGCAGTGCTGTTACTGTACCCCAAATGTGGCAGCAGAGACATCTCAGAGTAGATTCTGTGCTGTGGTACAGGCTGCTGTCAGCCTGTTTTCTGAGACATATATCACGGGACTCTTTTTCCTTTCAATAACCCAGCAAAGAGATTATAATGAGAGCTACACAAGGGAGGAGATCTTATTTAATCTTTATCTGTCATCATAGTACTGTATAAATACTAGTAATTCACTAAGAATTTGCTGTCTCTTACAACAGAATAATTTTAGTTCTTTCCCTTTAGATTTTATAAGTGCTGATTTTTGAAAGGCAAAAGCTTAATATTATAAATTTTTATTTTAATTGTCTTATGATCAATTGATAATTCATCCCAATTTTCACTTATGGTTTGATGTCCAATTACCATCGCATCTTATTATGACTACTGCAGACATATTTCAGTCCTCATTTGCTTTGTGTCTGAAGGTTCACACATTTATTCAATGTGTCCTTGGTGAGTACACTGAAGTGCCAGGTATGGTTTAAAGCAGTAGGATTATATCAGTAATAAGAATAAATGAAGTCCCTGTTCTCATGGAGTTTACTGCCTAGAGGGAGAGTCAGACATTAAGTAGGCAGTAAAAAAATAATATTAATACTAATGTAATTTCTTATAATGGCAAAAGAACAAATGCTATGGAGAAGCATTGGCATAAACATGGCTAATGGGAAAAGAGTGATTGAGAAAGAGTGATCTACCTTAGAGGACATGAGGAGGATTTTCCCTAAAGAGGTAAGATTTTTTTTTTTTTAAGAAGTGAATGATGGAGAGGCTGCTATCACACACACAAAATTACATTTTAAGAAGAAAGAAAAGAACCTGCACAAAAACCTGATGTAGGAGCCTGAGCAGTATGTGTGAGAAACAGAAATAAGACGGGGTTTACTTGGATCACAGAGGGTATGCTAAGATAGGCATGAGCTGGGACAAATGAGGTAGGGAAGAAGTGGACCAAGAAGCATGTGGCGGGTCCAGTAAAGTCATGTGATTTCATTCTAAGTGTTACCCAAGATGAACCGGTCAGATTTCTGTTTCTGGAAGGACCCCTTCTCAACAGAAAATGATTATCGAGGACAGGAGCAAAAGCAGAGAAAACAGTTACAGGATAACTCAGGAATTACTCAGGAATTATACTTGATTGTGTACAATCTTATTGTCACTTCAAAAAAATCTCTTTAGTCCAATGAGCAACATAATAGTAATTTATTAGTTTGGTCTTGTAGGACTTCTAGCACTTATAAAGCATTTTATTCTGATGACAACAAATATAATTTTTCTTGATAATGTTTAACATGATCTATTTTTTAAAAACCATTCACCCCGCAATATGTTGCTATAGCCTAAAGTCACCTTTCCCCCTACCCCGTTATATCACAGGTTAAAAGATTTCCCTGTCTTAGCAAAAACATGATTTTAAAATTTTAAGATTGGTGAAATCCGGGATGTACTTTCTCTTTGAAATTACTTATTTATTGAATTTTAATTTTTTTCAGTGAATTCAATCTAGCAGTAAGCTAGGCTGACCTATATATACCAGTTCCATTGATCCTAAGTTATCTCTTTACATTTAAATTTTCTGTATGCTTTGCAAAGAAAAAGTACAGAAATTCTCAAAAAGATATTGAATAAAAAAAAATATGTACGTTAAAAATTACAAGTAAAATTAAATGAAAAATTTTACAAAGATAAATCTGTTGAAGAATAATCAGATCATTTGGTTTTGGGGTTCATAATTTTCCTCATATTCAAGTTTCTCACAACTGAAAAGCAATGGAAGAATTTCCAAATCTGACAAGAGAATTCTGCAGAATAAATAGTGTTGTCATACTGATGGTACAGTAGATAAGAAGAAGAAGAAAAGCAGGAGAATGAGAAAGTTATAAGGAGAGAGAGATGACTCAGATAGTGGATCTTATATTCCAAGCCAAGAAGCAATGAATTGATGCAAGTTCAATACTATTAAGCCTAAAAAAAAAAAACCTCTAATTTACCATTGCGGCCGTTCTGCTTTAAAGTATTTGCAGAAAGCTGGATAGTGCTTCCATGGGCCATATTTTCTGGAAATTTTAGGTCTTCTAAGTTTCCTTCTGTGCTCAGCCTTGCAACTTCTAGTTCTGTTAATAACAAAGAGATATCCAACATACATTGAGAAACATGCTAAAGTTACAGGAATATTTCTGCAATCAAGACACTGGAGTTCTTGTTCTATTTGTCATGTTAAAGAAGTTCAATCTTTAAGAAAATATATTATTAGTAATTTCATTTTTTCAAAATAAAGCAAATAAAAACTTGAAAAATCATGTAAATATTACAAATGTATCCATAATATATTAGTCTAAATTTTAAAATTCAAACCTAAATCTTAATACTTTGTCATTGGCCTTTGGTTAATTTTCAAAATACTATCTTTGCTTTATGAATTAAATAAAAATCCTCATATTGGAACTATCATGTCAAATCATTATTGATCTCTCTTTAAAATTAATAAATATAAAAAAAGATTTATCAAATGTCCTGATATAAAATCATCAGTTATATCTGAAACCACAATAAAAACAGATGTACTCTTTATAAGCCAGATAATATAATTATCAGTTTATTATCTTTAATCACATGACTTTTTACAGTATGTAATTCACATGTAGAAATGACCTATACTTGTGCATTAGGAGAAAAAATACTACATATTACAAAACATGCATAGATAAATACATATGTAAAAATTCTAAAAATGAACAGACCTCACTGTAAGCCATCCTAGAATGATATATACCATATATCCCATATCAGAATGTCCTAAGAGTTTAACATACAGGACTTTCAACCTGATTAAGCTGAAAGGTTGACACTCTTTTCATTTGGGTGAAAGAACAACTTATCTCTATTGAAATAAAGTGTCATTTATGTCTGGGGTGCCTGGTATACTTTTTTCTCTTCCCTTTCCTGTTATACAAGGGTCTCTGGACCTTCTGTATAACAAAGGCCACTTACGAATATTGTCTGTGTTCTCCCTGACAATGTCAGTCTTCAAAAGGTTATCAGCCAGCACAAAGGCACTCTCCTCCACTGTGTCAAGCAGCATGGTGGCTGCACGTAGTTGATCACTTGTAGTCAGGTCTCTCCAAGCATTCAAAGCTTGTGGCTGAAGGAGGTTGTTAACTGTCTCGACCATTGCCTATGAGAGGAGGGACAGAATGACAGAGGTCTCTAGTGAACCCACATAGCTGTCAGAAATCCAGGTGAACATGCTGCCCAGCAAGCAAGGATCAGCGGTGCGCATGAGCTCACTATTGTCCCAGCCTCCCCTGTGACATGCTGCAGCAGAAGCATTCATTATTATTTTTTTTTGTAAAACCCTCTCTGAGACTGTGCAAGACAAGAGAAAAACCTGTTTCTTGCTTTGAAGGACAACAAATAGAGTCATACTTGCTCCACAAAATCAACATCACAGGTTTCAATAACACTGTGATCACATAATTAAATGATCTGGCTGGGGGAACTGTTTATAAGTAATTCAAACAAATAATTTTTTTTTCCTAAAGATCACCATAAAACTGGAGACTGAACACAACTGAGATGGAAAGGATGACTATAGACATGACAGTATAGGAATTCCTTCCTAGAGGTTAAAGACTCACGGAACAAACACCTTTCTTTTCTTCTTTCTTTCTTTTTTTTTTCATTAGTTAGCTAGTAAAATGTCAGAATGGAGAAAATATCAAAACATACATAATCCCAGGGTTATGGATGTATGGAGAGAAATCTTCTTCATGCTGTTTACTATTAGGGAGGGGAATAAACAGTTTGATTTCACTATACCAATGGACCTCAGGTGTTTTTTGCTTTTCGTTTTAATCAGCAGTGGGTTCATCCATATGGAAAGACAAGCACCACATTTCTCCTTGCTTCATCCAAAAGAATCATCTCTATAGTTAAAACTTACATATCTCCTGTGATTTGCTTTATGCTGTAGGTTACAAAGAAAACACAGCTCTCCCAATAAGGTCTTGAATTTCATTCAAACCCAGAGATTTGCAAAATAGAAAAATATAACACCTGCAGTTTGAAAGTGATCATCTCTGAACCTATTCACTATAAAATATGCCGCTAATCCAGAAATAAAGTTAAATAAACAGCCAACACAGACATAGTTTCTAGGCTGCATGTAAGTGTTTTAAAATGGGACTCACATTATTGACACCTTGGCAGAGGGATTGGGCGAGATGGAGACATATCCTTTACACTGCAGAGTTTTCTTCTGGCTGCTGTTTTCATAGTAACCAAGTAACAACTGTTAAAAATTCAGCTTCATAATGAAACACCTAGGCTGCCAATTAACACCCGCTTCAAAAACTAATTTGCCTTTTGATAAAAGTCGTTTTTCTTGATATTTTCCCAGCTACTCCAAGTCCTGGCCCCAAATCAACATTATTGGACTTTTGAGTCAAAGAGTCTGAATCACAACTTGAAGACTTTGCATCACACTAACAAACCAAAAACATCCGTCATTTATTCAAAGACTGAACACTTTCACATAGTGTGCTTAGCTCTGTCATTTGTTCTGGGTTTAAAGTATGACCTAGTAATCAAACAAAAGTATTTCTGGATCAAAGCAAAACTATCTGCTTTCCAGGAAATTCTTGTAGGGGTAAGGCCAAACAGGATATGCCAAAAAAGAGATGCCAGATAGAAAAATCTCTCTCTCTACACACACACACACACACACACACACACACACACACACACACACTTAGATGCTTTCTGAAGCCATAACCCTCTTGAGTGCAAAGAAGTATTTTTTATGTCATCAAATGATTCTCTGAATTCATTAGCAATGCTCTGAACCTCCCCCCACCCCATGCAACAAGAATTATGTCTTTTTTTTTTTTAAAATGGACAGCTATTTAAGCTGCTAATAATCTTTTTTTTTTTTAACTGGGGATTGAACTCAGGGGCACTCGACAACTGAGCCACATCCCCAGCGCTATTTTGTTTTTATTTAGAGACAGGGTCTCACTGAGTTGCTTAGTGCCTTGCTTTTTGCTGAGGGTGGCTTTGAACTCCTGATCCTCTTGCCTCAGCCTCCAGAGTCACTGGGATTACAGGCATGTGCCACTGCACCCGGCTAATAATCTTTGTGATTATTAAGTATTCTTCCATTTATTAATTGAAATCTTAAATCAGGGAGTTTCATTGAGGATAAGCATTTCTGTTCTGCCCTTTCTTGTTTTTATTTAGTTTATAAATGGTGAAATGAGAAAAAAAAGGAAAATAAAAAATATGGTCAACTTCAACAGTGTTCTCCAACAATGTTCTAAATAATTTGTTCCAAGATGAAATGATGAAACAAAGAAAGTCTTAATGGACTAGCATGGAGATTGAACCAGCAATCAAAAACTTCTCAAAAAGCCCAGGAACTGATGGCTTCACTGGTGAATTACAGAAAACATTTAAAGGAGAATTATCACCAATTCTTCTCAAACTCGCCTGAAAACTTGAAGATGAGGAAACACTGCTAAATACATTTTATGAGGATAGCATTACTACCTTGATACAAAAGCCAAAGACACCTCCAAAAAGAAAACTACAGGCCATATGAAGAATATAGATGCATAATTCCTCAAAGAAATACCAGCAAATCAAACCTAACAGCGTATTGAAAGGATCATACAATTATTAGCACACATGATTATCTCTGGGATTAAACGATATAGTTTAACATTTAAAATGATATAGTTAACATAACATAATATAGTTCAATATTTAAAAAATCAATAAATGTGATATGCTATGTTAGCAGAATAGAATATGTCACACAATTGTTTCAAAAGATGAGTAAAAAAATTCTGACAAAATTCAGCACTTTTTCATGAGAAAAACAACAAACAAGGAATAAAAGAAACCTACTTAACTATAGTAAAAGCCATATATGAAAAGCCCTTAGCGAACATCATTGTCAACCATGAAAATGTGAGAGCTTTTCCTTTAAGATCAGGAACCAGGCAAGCATGCCATGCCCACTTTTACCACTTCCAGGCATCACAGTACTTGAGGTATTATGTTGGTCAACAAATAGGAAATAAGAGCTCTCCAAATTGGAAGTGAGGAAGTGAAATCATCTCTGTAGATGACATGATCTCTATATGGGAAACCCAAAAGCTTCCATTAAAAAAAAAAAAAAGACAAACAACAAAAATAAAGTACAACCTGTAAGAACTCAGGAACTTGTTTACAACAAGCTGCTTTATCATGAAAAAACAAAAACAAATAAATTGTGCCTGTCAACTGATACCAATGAATCAAATGCACCAACTTATTAACGTATCTAAGTTTCACAAAGCTATTACTTATCTTAGTTTTGCAGCTGAAGAAGTATAAGGTCCATAGTTAAAAAAAAATCTGAATACATTCTCAACAATTATATCCTCCCCAATAAAGCACTGTTTGTAAGAAAGCTTTCAATAAAATTTATATTAAAGGTTAAATAATTTCCAACACACATTAAAATGTAGACACAACATTAAAATGTAGTCTAACATCTAAGATTTAATGGGTTTTGAGATAACTTGAAGGTTCATTTGGCCTTCTTAAAAAACACCTAGCCATGATTGTTTAAATATAATTGCAAGGATGTGTTAGCACAAAAATTAATAGCTACAATCAGAGTGTGGGATTTAGAAATGCATCCATAGAAGTTGTCCTTAGACTCTGCTTCTTGTCCAGCTATGTGATATTGGGCAAGTTACTTAACTTCTCTGTACTTCATCTATAATACAGTGATAAGACAATCAATGTAAAAGGGTGCCTGGCTTATATAAGTGCTCAAGATGCAGTCTTATTTTTACTTTCACTTGACATCATAGTCCAGTGCGGCATCTTCACAGGTGTCATTACTAAATAAGCACAAATAATATCTGATAATCGAACAGTGATATTTGTAAAGAACTACTCTTGTACAATGCAGTCTTCAAATTTGACCCCTGACACAGCTTAATTACCAAAGCTATTACATAGCTGAAGTTTTGAGAACAGAAGAGTAGAGGCTTGAACTAACTGAGGGTCCATCTTAATTCTCTAATGAATACAAATGCCTTAAGCTTTCTAAAAATGGCTGGTGTGTCTCTGTTGCCCACTAAATAAAAGTCTAATTGACTTTAATTAATACTCACAGCTCCTCAATGATAAATAATAACCAGATTTGATTTTCTTGAACATTTATGTATTTGTTATTTTATTATAAATGATGACATCTGGTCACATTTTTTTTTGTCTTTAAAACTAGGTTGATTTCCATTTTATGTGGTTATACAAATAAAAGCTTAAATGTATTGCAACCTTAAGTTGAATGATAAAGGTATAATTAATTTTATTAAATTTAGAGCAGATATGAGAACATCACTTTAAGGCCCAACAGTTTTAACTCATTTCTGTTTTCTGCCTTAAATTTTTTTCTGATCTAAAATTTTGTTATAAGATGGAAGAAAATAAGGCTGGTCCTGTATTTATCTTATGGAACTTTATATTGCCATCACAATGCCTCAATCCAGGAGGGGAAAAAAAATCACCTGATGATTTTAACTTGTACAGATTAAAATAATCTAAAATTTTTTGAAGTAAATTTAATCCGCACTATCCTTATCAGAAACTAAATATTAACTAATTTGTTTATCCTTTGTAGAATACTTGAACCTAAATAAGATATGGACACTGGAAATTTACATTCTACTTCTGCCAGTAAATTTCTGTGTGCTTTATGACAAATTATGCTTTCAACAATATGTGAACCATTCGAGAAATTAAGGCTTATCATATTTTAAATTCAGAGTGGATAGTGATGGATATTCCCCCGGCTCATTACATAGTTTGCCTTCTAGCCTTTAAGTACATTGAGCTATCTCAAAAAAAAAATCACATATAAATCAGAAAGATTCAGAAGTCATTTAGAGGCACATGGGGATCATGGACAAAGCATATCCTTCTAAACATGTATTAATATTACACAACAGTGTTAGAATGCTTATCATTAAATGCAGACCTTAGGCAAAGTCATTTGAATTGTTTAATTCATTTGGTATAACTGTGGTGTGTTTGTTATGAACATTTTATAATCACACTTTATGAATTTTATTTATTTTGAGGTACTGGGCATTTAACCCAGGGGTGCTCCTCTGCTGA